ACACTCGAGAAGACCTTAGTACCTTATCAAGCCACCTTCCTTGATAAACTCTTGTTACTTACCCTTTACCGGTAAGTGACTTCCTTGGTCATTATCCATTAGGTTTCGCAGCTCATCGCTGACGAGATCCCTGAGGTTCGACTCAGGCTACTCTTAGATACTCGTATCTCTGAAGAAACACCAGGCCTAAAGCCCGACCAACTTCTTCTGTAATCCTACAGTAGGCCTCGGAATAGTTAGTTATATTTACCTTCTCCTTACCCTTAAAGTGTGATTCAATTAATATCTGCTACTATCTGTAGGACAAATATTGACTAACCAATTAATAAATTAGTTATCTGATCTACGTATCCAGTAAGATCATTTGTCAGGACTAGAAAGTAAGTGTTACTAGACAACTTACCTTCTCATATAGTAGCCACCCTGACAATTGGGGGCCTCATCGTGTGTTAAAATAACCCGAGACTAATAAAAGAAAACGTGTTTGTTTTCAAATAAACTTTTTTTTTACCTCATCGTTATCAACTTGCTATAGGAATTTTTTCAAAAAACAAAACAAAACCCATAAAAAATTATCAATTTTTTTTCCCGGAACAGAATAATTCTATCTCTTCCTGATTTCTCCTTCCGAAAATTTCTTTCACAGACATAGACCAGAGTTCCTTAGACCTATTTAGAGAACTTCCTTGCTACGACTCAAAGCAAGAAAATCTGTTTACTGATACACCTTACAATCCCTGTTTTGGTTATCATTCGCTAAGACCGAATCATCCTTTTTTGAGATTTTTACAAGTTATCGAAGAACCGATTCCAGTTCTTTTTCTACAGGATACTGTATTGACCGACCCAGTTTGAAAATCTTTTCAAAATTATTTCTAAACTTCGACAACCAAGTCCTAGAAACAAGAGGATCAACGAATTTATCAGCAATAGCGAAAAATTTTTCTTCGACTACAGATTCAGACTAGCGAAGAGTATTCTCAACAGCCAACTTCCAGCTTTACGAAGGAAGAAAATCAAGTCTTTAAGGAAAAAGTTGGTATTTCTTTTTTTTTTTGAGAGACGCAAGTATCACGAAGACAACTTACACATAGCATCCGCTACGGTGATTTTGTTTCTTAGTGAACAACACAACCCCATCAACCCCGGTTTCAAACGCCCAAAAGACCACAAAGAAAACCCAATCTACGTCGCAGAGTCCAAACCAGCCAGGAGTAGTGCCCATATTGAATACCACGATAACGACTACCCCTGTGACTTCGATACCTACAACTACCACTCCAGCTAGTAAGTGACAGCCGCGCAGCACCTTGAGCCACAAGTCACCAAGTGAATTAACAGATTATGCCTCCCAGGAAATCAGACAGGGTTAGAGCAATCGAAGAGAAGCTCGGCAAACCCAGTTACTCAGACACTGTCCGACGCGCCAGCTCAGTCGGATGCGCTACGACCAGACCACATGGAAGAAGATCCAGCATCAGATCAGCAACCACCGACCATGTCGGAGGACCACGAAAGGTTACTGATGACACTCCACGAGAACAATTTCATGAAGTGGAAAAACGCACAGGAATCAAACCCGAACAACACAAGAACCATCATGACTTATCTCTCCTTGTGGAAGAACAGTCATCACTCGTTGAAGATAATCCTAGGAGAAGAGGAAGTACTGAAGAGGAGCCTGGGTTGGGATCCTTACTTGGAAGAAAAGAAGCTGCTAGCCAGGACAAGCAGTGGATTCATCGGCAAGAACCCAATACTGCAGCGACCCAGCCAACTACCAGAGCCAGTACAGTCGACCTCTTCAGCGGGACCGACGCGCAACAGCAACCTGAAGCAACAAAGGGAACCGTACAAGAAACCGGACCATGTGGAAGAGGAGTCGAGGAACGTTCAGTCCATGCTGTCCTTCAGTCGAGCGTACTACAGAGCAATCAAAGGTATCAACAAAACGAACAAAAACAAGAAAAACGGCAAATCACCGTTCAAAACGGACCAGCACCACCAAGAGGAGCCTCCTCAGATGTAAACCAGTTTTTTACGTCAACACCAAGCCCCTTCTTGACTTCCCGAAGAATTTTACATCAAAACGATGCAGTTCCCATCCCAAATCCTGTTATGCTCCCTATGCCAGCGAAAGTACCAGCGGTGGCACGAGTAGAACCAATCTATGTTGTCCAACAAGTAGAACCAGCTAAAGCTACTTCCACTCTCTTAAGTAACCCTAGCGCTAAAAAAGATAAAACCCATGTTGTATCAGAACCTGTTATCTCCACTCCTTTAGTTAATGGTAATAACATACATCATGACCAAAAAACTGAGCCACCTATAGTGAGAGCTGACTCAATCAAACGAACCAAGAGTATTGGCGAGCTAATTCGCGAGAGTGAGAACAAGGTGTCCCCTTTTGTGATGGCCGGACCTGTTGAAACGAGCCCTGATAAAATAAGTCCCTTGTCTTTTGACAAAGAATTTAGCTTGGCAAATAAGTTTCAGAAGCTGAAATTGCACAGTTCCAACAT